GAAAGCAAAGCTTCGGGGCTACTGAGGGACCGTCCAGGTGGGAGTGACTTTGTCTCCTGCTGGAAGCTGGAGTCTCAGGCTGCTGCCCATTTTGACACCTTTGATACCACACGGAATGGTCTTGTTTGTCTTTGGGTGGTGCCAGGCATGATGATCTCAACCACAGTGCTTATGAGCAAAGAACTTGGCGTTGGACAGACCTTGAATCCCAGAACTGTAACCTCCCAGAGGTGCCATCTTGGGTAGACGATTTAACTGCTCTATGCTTAGTTTCTTGTCTATGAAATGAGAATGACATTGGTCCCTGCCTCATAGGGTTTGGGGGAAGCTTAAATGAGATAATAAACATAAAGCATGCCTCATCTGGTACAGGTAAAGACTTCATAAATGGTTGCTGCTACTATTAATTATTGTGATTACTCTTACTGTGATTATTATTAGCCGCTGTTGTCAGTGAGTTCGTTTTGTTTTCTCAGAGTGCACCCCTGCAGGAAGGGCCGACTGAGGAGAACTTACTCAGCGTCAACTTTTCCTGGAACTTGTTTGCGGGTCACAGGCATGGCGCACCAACTCCCTCCCCCCACCATTTTTCCTGGGATCGTTGCCAAGTCTTAAGCCAGGAAACCTTGTTATATTAATTATGAAGAAAAAGCATGTTTTATTTAAAATCCCGGCTGCCGAATATTCTGCCATGCTGTTTCTCTGTGACAGCAGAATTGATCTTGCATTTAGGAAACTCTAATGAATTTAAAATATAAATATACCTGTGCCTATATACGCGTGTGATTTCCCGCGACCTGATTTCCCTAAATACCAGTGTACACTGCTAAAGGTAATGAGTTGGACTTGCCCTTCCGATCAGTTAAAAAAAAAAATCTATGAGAATTTGCAGTGAAATTCAGTCCCTCCCCTTTCTCTAAGACTGTGTAGATGGCAGTAAGAGGGAGGAATGCCTCTTCAGTCTCTACTAGGCCCGAAAGAGACCGGCATTCTGGAGGCTTTGAAAAGAGTGGCTCCCATCTTCCTATCCAAGGCCTTGTTTGGTCCTGGAGCCCATGCAGGTGTGGATGCTTGAATTAATCGGATGCTGAGCCTGGTCACTTGCCCATCTCATACTGGCTCCGATAAGTCAATATCCACAGCATTTCTGAGCAATAGCCAGAGAAGTGCACTAAGGCAGAACCAGGCAGACAATGCACACTGGTCAAGAGGAAGGCTTCTAGATAGTATGGGGGCCAGGCATGATGTCTCACACCTGTCATCTCAGCACTTTGAGAGGCCAAGGCAAGAGGATCATTTAAGGTCAGGAGTTCGATACCAGCCTGTGGAACATAGCAAAAACCAGTCTCTACAAAAAAAAAAAAAA